TAAAAATAACCGACAGGTTGTGGGCAATAAACAAAAATTCACGGAAGCCCGTGACCTGTCTGTGATTTTTACTAAAAATAATGGGGAGGCTGACGGGGGATGACTGAAGGCTGAGCCTTGGGGGGGGGGGGGGGAAGAGATCCCAAGCCCCACTGTGGGACAGGGGAGGGGTCCAGCACCGGTCGCTGCCGTGGCTGACAGCTCTGGGGCCCCTGCTGCAGCCCCAGTGGCTCAGAGCTCCTGGGTCCCCACCACCTGCAGCAGCTAACTGCTCTGGGGTCTCCACCACCCATGGCAGCTCAGAGCTCTGGGGTCCCTGCTGCCCGCAGTGCCTGAGAGCTCTGGGGCTGGCAGCTGGGAGCCCCCACCACCCGCAGCTGTTGGGTGCTCCGGGGCCCCCGCCACCCACGGCACCTGAGAACTCTGGGTCTGGTGGCTCGAAGCTTGGGATGCCACTGCCACTCATGGGAAGCCCCTACTTCCTGCGGAGGCTGAGAGCTCTGGGTGCCCCCACCACCCGCGGCAGCTTGGAGCTCCAGGGTCCCTGCCAGCTGAGAGCTCCAGCCCTGTTAGCCCAGAGCTGGGTGGGGGCTCAAGTCACTTGTATTTAGTATTGTTAAGAGGGTCCCCTAGATACTGAGCCCATCCTTTATTGCTGCCAACACTACCAGGCAGAAGAGTTACATGTATAGTATATAGATAAGTTTTAATCTAACCTCCTCTTTCTGATAAAAGACAATAATTTCAGGGTGGGATGGTACTGGAGATAAAGTTTACTGCATTACCTTATTGATGTCCCATAGAACCAATCTGCTTTGTCGATTGGCAAATTCATAGGCTGTTACTCTCCCAATTCCATGACCAGCACCGGTAATGAGAACAAGCTCTCCACTGACAGACTTCCTCTTCACAGGAATGAAAAGCTTCACAAAAGCCTCTATGTAGGAGTAAATTATTATAGGTAAAAGCAACAAAAGCTCCATAAAGAGATTCATTTTTCTACAGACTTTCAGTACTTTGACCCTTGGTCACTATTTAAAACACTGTCGGTTATTTATTTTTCAGAGACCAGGAAATGCTCCTCCACTGGAGACAGGACAGGAAAAAATGCTGTTTATGTGCATGTGACACTGAGAAAAGTTGTCTGCTGTATCTGTAAAATTAACTACCTCACTGCCAAATCAATGACATTCAACCTATTCAACAAGAGACAAATAATTAGGACAGGGCTGAAACCTGCCTGGAATCTGTCTAACAAATAAGATTGTCTTTATTTTCATGTGTCTGCTGATACATGACCTTTTGGGATTCAGATTAATAGATTATAAAGCCCGAAAGGACCTCAGTGATCATCTAGTCTGCCCTCCTGTATAACACAAGGCATAGAACTATCTCAGAATTAACTGTATACACCAGAGCATATCTTTTAGAAAACCATCCAATCTTGATTTTAAGATTTCCAATAATGGTGAATCCACTACAGCCCTTTGTAAATTTTCCAGTGGTTAATTCCCTTACTGTTAAATATGATTTTGAGTTTGAATTTGTCTAGCTTTCTCTGCTAAACTGAAGATCCGTCTATTATCAAATTTCTGTTCCCCATCTAGGTACTTACAGACTTTGATTAAGTCACCTGTAACTTTTTCTTTGTTAAGCGAAATAGTGTACCCTTCTTGAGTCTCTCTCTTTAGAGGGTGACCAGACGTCCCGATAAAATCGGGACCGTCCCGATATTTCGGTGTCTGTCCTGATATCCGCCAGCAGCACTGGGTTGTTATTATTATTATTATTATTATTTTGCTCAGCCGACAGGACTCGGCTTTTTTTTTTCTCTGCTGGCGGGCACCCCCCTCCCCATGTGTCCCGATATTTTCTTCCCCTCATCTGGTCACCCTATCTCTGTAAGGCATGTTTTCTAATCCTTTAATCATTCTTGTGGCTGTTCTCTGAAACCTCTTTAATTTATCAACATCCTTCTTGAATTGTGGAATCAGAACTGAGTCCTGTATTGGCTGTTCCACTATTTTGCTGGAGATCAATGACTGGCTGATAGGCCTTTAACTCCCCAGATAATTTAGGAATCTTCAATTATTTATTTTCAGGGTAGATAGCGATATTACATTACATCATAATGTGATCATTCAGTGTCTGAACATGAAAGCAAAAAATTTGCAATGGGATTTTTTTTTGGTTTTCAGGCTAAATACAAATATAAGGGAATCTTAAAGGAGGAAGTAGAAGTCTGTGTATGCTGTTGAGTTAGGGGAGTCCCAAATATATCCAGGTATTACCAACCTCAAGTGTTCAAAAATCACGAGTCAGACCCTTCAAAATGACCTCTCGAGGTCCCTTCCAGTCCTAGAATCTATGAATCTATAAAAATCACGAGATTGTCTTAAAAATTATGAAATTATAAATAATATATCTGAGGTTCCTTTTTCTTTGCCTTTTGAGCCTTTAGGCTGCAACTCGGTTATGTTTTCAAGCTTTTCTCTGCAACCATGAGAGCTAGAAACTTACTCTTTCATAAATTACACCGGACCCTCGCTAGAACGCGGGATTTGGGATCCATGTGCAGTACCATGTTAACGCGGGGACCGCATTAAAATGAATTGCAATTAAAGTAATTACATTTGGGATCCATGGCCGCGACCGCGTTATATGCGAATTCGCGCTATATAGATGAGTGTTCTAGCGAGGGTTCCGTGTATTTACTTTTTGTTTTACCGTAACACCTACAAAGACTAGTCATGGACCAGGATGCCATTGTGCTAGGCGATATCCAAATTCAAGCTGGGATTCTCAGGCAACCCTTGATTTCAGAAAATGTGGCTTTTAAGAGAAAATGCCAAATATATACATCCAATAAACCAAATGCTGTGAAATTGTGATATAATCAGGAGAGTTGGCAGCACTTTATGAAAAAGGTTGAGAACCCCCTGACCACTCTCCCACGGTATATGTAGGCTTCCAAAGGAGATTGTGGATCCCTGTTGGGGAAGGTTTTTAAGAACAGGTTAGACACACACGTGTCAGGGATGGTCTAGGTTTACTTGGTTCTGCTTCAGCACAGGTGGATGGACTGGATGGCTGCTTGAGGTCCCTTCCAGCCCTACATTTCTATGCTCCATGCTGCAATTTGGGGTGCAACTGTGTCAGGTGCTCACACTTGCTTTAATCCAGCCTGCACGGGTACCGAGGAAGCGAAGGTGCGGCAGGCTCAGCGTGGGCTCGCTGTCCAGCACAAGGCACGGGGCAAGAGTAGGGATGCTGGACCTGCCACGCCTTCGCACCATGCTAGCCCTGGTACCCATGCAGACGCACCAGCCTCTGGGTGCCTGCTGAGTAGGGTTGCGAGGCATCCGTTTTTTGACCTGGCTGTTAAAATTACAGTCGGCAGTGCAGCAGGGGCCCGGGGCTAAGGTGGGCTCCCTGCCTGCCCTAGATCCGCACAGCTCCCAGAGCCAGCTCCTTGTGGCCCCTAGGTGCATGGGCGGCCAGGGAAACTCCGTGTACTGCTCCCTCCCCTAGCGCTGCCTCCGCAGCTCCCATTGGGCCGAAACTGCGAGGGCAGCATGCGGAGCCTCCCTGGCCACCCATGTGCCTGGAGGCTGCTTCCTTGAAGCCATGGTAAGCACCGCTGGGACCCCGCACCTCTTCCTGCACCCCAACCCCCTGTGCCAGCCCGGAGTCCCCTCCTGCACCCAAACTCCCTCCTGTACCTCGCACCCCCCCCAACACCCTGCCCCAGCCCTGAGTCCCCTCCTGCACCTCAAACCCCTCATCCCTGGTCCCACCCCAGAGCCCACACCCCCACCTGGATCCCTCACCTGAACCCCC